TCTGAGCTGCTTCTCACGCGTATTCTTACTTTTTCAGGAATAAGAGGATAAAGAGGGCATTGATTTTAGTCAAGAAATACCGGCAAAAGAATTGATCGGAAGGATTGCTTTAAAGATGAGAATGAAGACATCTTAATGCTAATCAGTTGAAGATGAAGCAAGCAAATCAATGGAAAAATAGCTTCAAATAGATTGGATTCAGCGACATTTCTTCAATAGACAGAGAAAATCTTTTTTTTTTTTGCCTTTTTTAATTTTTAAGAGATTTATTAATCGTTTTTTTCTTTATTTTTTCCTTTCTTTCTTTTTCAGGTCTTTTCTCTTTTCTCTTTTTATTATTATTATTATTATTTATTTGTCGACGTTACCGTCCGGAAGAATTAGTATTTATACATGTTTTACTTTTTACATTGATTAGTGATACATTTCATATCACTATGGGTGACGTAGAATCAAGCTTCTAATCTTCAAATCTAGGTTTCGATTAAATTCAGACTACGTTTCAATCTTCTGTGGGCGTGACGTGATACATTTCAGGTCCGTTCTGACAATATTCCATTATAAGGTAATCTTGTAGCTCTCGTTCCTATTTCTCCCGCTCTCACTTCAAGTTCCTGATGCGTTCCTTAATCCAACGTTGCCCAAAATGCCCAATTATGGCTTGATCTCGTACATTAAGCAGTCGAAGTATCTAAACTTCTGAAAAAGAACAAATTTGGAAATGGCTGGATTCGAACCGACGACCTTCGAGTTACCATACCGAATTTGAGCCAAGCGCCTTACCTATTCGACCAGCAAGGCACTTAACTGCTTTTAGGTCTGTTCTTCTTTTTTTTTGTCAAATCGCAGTATAAAGTTTTTAATACAACGAGCTTTTACATTATAAATGAGCAGAAATATCAAGCAAGAACCAAATAAAGTTCATCTACCAATTCATACACACTTCGTCCAATATGGCTCTGCAATTAAACTGAACGTGTACTTCAAAATCAATTCAAAAATATTCACGAAAATTTTGTGTGAATATAATAACATCATCTAAAAGGATCTTCTCTGGACCTCCATTGAAATTGAAGAATGAACAATGCTTTAAACGATCCTGAAGAATTTCTAGAGCAGCATCACATGGGAACAAGTAATCAAGTACACAGTAAGTCATTGCTACTTTAATTCTCTCATCATGCTTCATCACTATGATCCTTCCATTTTCTTGACAAAACTCCATCTCTGTTTTATATTTTCTTCTTTTAACATGAAAGATGGAAAACACTTGCCAAAAATTGTCTCTGCTGAAAAATCAGATTTCAATTAATTGCTTCTCACGCTATTTCTCTCTTTTTCTCTTTTATAACCTTTCTTTTCAATTAAATATTTTCCAGCCAAGCACCAATTTTAAGCTTTATGCTACAGCAAGTACCGTCTGAACCGACCATCATTAAGCAAGATGTATCATTAGCTTCAAGTCCTACACCGCAATATCCACCAGGAATCCTAATGGACTCGGAATTTACGTCAGCAAATAGTAAGTAAACTTTAGCTGATAACTTATAAAAAAAAAATTTTATTCCATTTTTAGGTTTCTTATACCTTTGAAAATAGAAAATGCCCCACCGTCCTGCCCAAAATTTTTTTGGGCACTTGGCATCCTTACATTTTCGGAGAAAAATACAGAAAATGTTTCTGATTTTAATAAGGCGACAAAATCAACACGAACCAAATAAATGGAGTTAAATTACTAAGTATATGAAGGAGAGGCTTAATATAATCCAGTTTAATGACTTGAAGAAAGTGAGCAGCTGGAAATAAGCTGTAGAATGAGTCATATTTGCCAAATTTTAACAAAGATCAATCACATATGATACAAACATAAGCTTGAAATTTTTCGTGAAGGGAATTCTCACACCATCTGACCAGATAGTCATTAAGCAAGACGAATCACCAGCTTCAAGTTCTGCACCGCCATGTCTACCAGGAAACGTATTGAAACTAAGCATTTACGACAACAAAAAGTAAATCAATACGAAATTTCAATTTAAATAATTTTTTTTTATTCCTTTTTTAGGATTTTCATAACCTTTAAAATAGGAATCGCCCTACCGTCCTGCCCAAATTTTTTTTCGGCACTTGGAATATTTACATTTTGCAGACAAGTTCCTCTGCAAGTTTTTAACTGATCCATCAAAATTGGATACTGGCAAGGAATTGTACATCAAGATTATTTCAACTAAGGAAGATCGTACCAAGAAATTCATCGAAAACTAATTGGTATGACTTAATAATGCTTCCATTTATTTCTATGAGTTATCCTTTCGATTTTGGGTTCTATTCATCATATTAAGATGCCGATAAAGTCACTGTTTACTCAAAGAACAATGATAATGAACAATATGTTGGAAAATCATCTATCTGAAGGTGGCAGCTTTACAATTGGTATTGATAAATCTTCAAGACGTGTTACAAACATTGTATTATACATTAAAGAAGAGCAGAATGAATATTTGGACATTTTCGCGTGGATAATGAAGACAAGGAAGAATATACGATAACAAGTAACTACAAAGGAAGTGAATTCAGCAACAACTAATCAACAAGCAGAGAAGATGATTATTTTTTTTCTAATTTTAAATTATCAATCAAATTGACTAATGTTTTCCTTATTCCTTATTTTCTTTCTTTCTTACTTTTTTCTCTTTTCTTCTTTACTTCTTTTTTTGTTTCTTTCTTCCTTTTCTTAGACTACCAAAACTGTCAAGAGTCAATGGAACAACTTCACGTTGATAATAAAGACAGTTTAGAAGATGAGGATGAAGTCAGCTCAATAGCAAGCTAGCTCAAAAACAAACAGATTTGATGAAAATATCAAACCAATCAAGACAAAAAACGTGCAAAATTATCCATATCGCAAAGATTATATCCAATTTTATCAGATCAACGGCAGATTCACAAGTTCCAAGAAGAATGCCTATAAAAATGAAGAATCAGATAAGGAATATGGCTGTACAAATAAAACTGCAAAGCAAAAAGGATCTTCCATGGACCTTCAATGAAACTGAAGAATGGACAACATTTTGAAAGGATCGTGAAACATTTCAGGATTAATTCTTTATGAAACTGCTTTACCACTATGATCCTTGCGTAATCTTGAGAATACTACATCTCACTTTTATATTTTCTATTAATTGCTTCTCAGACTTTCTCTCACTTTTTCTCCTTGATAACCGGTCTTTTTAATTTAATTTTTTCCAGTCCAGCGCCAATTTCAAGCTATTTTTCGATACAGGAATTTTCACACCGACTAATTAGATAATCAAATACTGATCGCCAATACAAAAATGCGCTAAAGTCCCTCGATCAATAACACGAGGACTTCTGTAATTTTTTAAAAATTAAGTATTAAATTATGAAATTTTTTTTGAAAAGGCTGTACTTATACTATGCCTGCAACTATGCTGCATTTACAGCGCTTAATTCTATTTTGTTGGACTTTAATCAATTTTATTCTACTTTGAAGCACTTTATTGTATATTTTAGTATTACCCATTGGTTTAAACAGTAAAATGTGCTCATGTAAATTCATGAAAAAGGATGAAAATATAAAAACATTTCATTCATATTTATTTTAATAATTTTTGCGTTGAAACTTAATGCATTGAGACTAAAAGCTGCTAAAAGCAAATATTGAGAATTGCAATAAATTTATAACCTAATTGCAAGAGTACAAGCATGAAATAAATTCGTTTTTAATGCACTAAAATGTTATTATGAATTTCCATAAAATGAGATAAAATGGATTTAAATAAAGTTGACACAATTTTTTGTCATACTTTATTTGCCATCTCACTTTTATTTTCATACTCTTGGTTTCATTCATTATGTTGAATAGGAGAAAAAATAAATTGCTGCAGATGAAGCAGAAAGAGACATTTTTAAAATGCCATTGTTAATAATAATAATTATGATAACATCTACATCTGTGTCGTCTTGCTGTATTTCGCTAAAGCTTCAGAAAATGTTTTTGTACAATTCTTTATTGTATTCCATGACGATTTGTAAGGCTTATTTTTTTTGGTGCTTATTTTGTTAAATGAAAAATTAAGAGACAGTTCCTGTCAAGATATGTTTACTTTTTATTCAACTCAATTTGTTTTTTAAAGAGTTTATCTGAAAATATTTTTTTAAAGAAAATAATAGCAATCATTTAAAAATTCTTTAAATTGAAAATTTTTATTTAATTTCTCAGGTTTAAAGAACAGGAAAGACATAAAAAGATTGTAAGAAAATGTATATTCATCATGATGAAAAACAAATACTCCTCGTATTATCAACAATTGTCGGTGCTTTAATAATAATTGCAAATGGATCTTTATCTGATATTTCCATATTTACAACGATCATGATGATCTATATTTATATTTTTGACATTACTTTCATCTATCAACGATTTGGACATTCCTACTGCAACATTGAAGATCGTTTGACAGAATATTCTTTGTGGCTATTATGTGGAGAAATAGGTTTTGCAGTTTTCATCTATACAACGAAGCTTTTTACTACTAAATACAGCTTGAACAATTATTTGGCACACATATTAGCTTTTCTCGGAGTTTTTGTTGTCTATGAAACCATCAAAGTATTTATTGTTATAAGAAGTCAATTTTCCAAGAGCGCAAGGAGATGCTTAAGCAGCATGAAAGCTTATAGTAATCAAAATTTCAATGTAATCAGCCAATAAAAATTTATTTATTTATGCAATTTTAACCATCTTTAAGTTTTTTAAGTTGAGACTAAAAATGTTCAATGTTGCCAAATTTTCCTGCTCTCTTTTTTCCATCAATATCACGATTTCCACAATCTCTCTTGGATCATATTAGAAATGACAACAGAGAGAAAAAGCACTCATTCATGAACATAGTTCTCTCAAAAAGCTTTATGCGCAAGGAGATGAAAACGTAGGAGTTTTGTGTAGTCAATTCAGTTTATTTTCAATCGTTGAGGTGCAAAGACATGAAAATAAAGGAGCCGACTAATGGCAAGAATAAATTGTGATGATATATAAAATATAATATAGGCATCATATGGAATAATATTTGCACAAACGGGATAAACGAGAAAATTGTGGATTCTCATTTAAAATTTATGCAGTTTCATTGATTATTGTATTGTGTACATAAATGTGAGTGCCGATATGTGTTTCTGGAATAAAAATCATGAAAAATAATTCAATTTAGAGCAATTTTTATTGTCATAAATAGAGAAGTGAATAATAAAAAAATTAAAGAAAAGAGAATAAAAAAATTTGTAGAGATTGTGTAGCTGTGCCAGTAAATACAAAAAAAGGAAAGAAAAAATTGTCGGCACAAGAGTAATAAATAAAATCAAATAGTAAATAGAAGAAAATTATGTTATTAGATAAAAATTTATTAGATAATCAAGTGACAACGTGACCTTAACGTTCGCGATGGCACCATCAATGTTTAATTGTTTCGTGATCGGTTATCGTACATCATCGAAACCTATTCTCAATGGATTACTCAAATTATGGATAAAAGTTCTATTTATTACGTTAATTTTTGCGCTTGTGCAAACTTCAACACCAGCATCATCAATACAACAGCAGTCGATACAGAAGAGAGGTGAAATTTCTTTTAAATTCCTATTTTTTCCCATATTCTCGACCTTTTAAATTCTAAAAAGAATTTCTCTCCATCGTTCTCTCATCCTCTCTTTCCTTATAAGTTGCCACATATGTGCGAATATGTATGCATGAAATTGAAAAAAAAAAAGAATTGAAATATTTGTGTCATCGCAATTTTTTAATATAAAAGAGATATGATAAATTTTGATGCTTTTGGCTCGCTTTTTTTCGAGCACACACAAAAAATTGACAAATTGAGGGCTGAATGAATATTAATGCAGGAATATTCATGAGATGTTTTTATCAATAATGAAGTATTTCATGCATACGCATACTTTAAAGTACTAAATTATCTGAATTTGAAGTCGACATGCCGTGAAATACTTCTTGCTTTCTCTTCCAGTCAATTGAAGTCAATTTATCATTGTTAAAAATGTAGAGAATTATTTACTGGTGCGTAAAGTGAGCTTTCTCGACATGATACACGCTTTATGCAATACTCAATTTCGTTCGCTAGCTCGCTATGTACCACACACATGCTATTACATTCTATGATCCTCTGAAATTCACAGCACGACGCATATAGGAAAACTTCAGGCAAAAAAATAAACTTTTTTGTGTGTGTTCATTTTGATTTCATGTTGCTTTTTATACTTTTTTCATTTTGCTCCCTCCTTACTGCCTAAAATGCTATACATTACAATAGTTGAAGGGAACGAATTAAGCATTGTAGAGTATAAAATTGTTATTTTCATTGTTTCGCTTTGTATGAGAATGTGCATGCATATTGGAAGTGCTGTAAACAAATTAAAGTTTAATTTATCAACGCATTTTGGACGACCCTTGTCTAATACAGTACATTATAAACTTTGTGTTACGATACTCTATGTAAAATTTCCTCTAGTTTATGTTAAAATAAAAATATTTGGTTTGCATAGTAAGCATGAGTTAAAGACACTGAACATGAAGGTTGTATATTAAATACGGATAATTGTTGGATGCAGAACTCATATGATACTAGTGCAAGTAATTTAACAAGGTGAACTAACTGTTGAAAATTAAATTTTAGATCCAATGGATAAAAGGAACAAGTAAAGTTTTTGATCAATGCCTAAGATTAGGGAGACAAAAATTTAAAAAGCAATTTTTAACAAATAATAATCATAAAAAGGAAACTTTACTAGAGCTAGAACAAAGATGAAAACTCAATGGATTAAAAATAAAAAAGCACTGTGCCAAAAAGGAACATGGAAAAGAAAATAAAAATAATCCATAAAGCTTGTTTTCCTCTTTTTTCCTTAGTTTTACACTATATGTGAGCTTTGGATTTGTTTTCTTTTTTTTTTATTATTGTCTCAAGTTTTATTCATACAAAAATTCACTATCTTTGATGGGCAATGTGGAGTTACATTATGGCGACTTTAAGCTAAACAAGATTTTGTCTTCATATGCTGTCTTTTTGATACTAAACTCATTTATATTACCTTAGGTATTTTTTCTTAAAATAAAAATGAAAGTACATTTTAAAAGCTCATCATCATAATTTGGACAGCAAGAAGCCATCGACTCAAGTCATTTTATTTTTAATCCACAATATCTACTCCTTAAGTATCATATAAACTTTATGAACTTATTTATAAAAGACGACATAAAAGCAATGCAAAATTAATTCAATGTCCTCAATTTGTATTCATCATTTTATGTTATAAAAATCAAGAGTAGATTGTATCGCTGATTTCCCAATGCCCATATCTCCTAACTGTGCTCATCATACAGTGAAAATATAAGCCATGAGGCATATACGATATAATCATATAACGAGACATACAAAATAAAAAAAAATTCTGTTCCATTCCGGAGATGGGAGGCAAGGATTTCTCGTTTGTTATTGCTGGATTTTTTTTTTCTCAAAGGACTCCTTCCCTTTCGTTAAAATAAACGCACATATTTATTCATATACAAAGTGAAATAATAATATGAAAGAGGAGAAAAGAATTTGCTTCAGAATGTCTGAAAGGTCATATATGGCAAGATATAAAAAATTCAATGAATGAAGGAAGGAGGATAAAATTATGAAAATAATTTTGGTTAACGCAAATTTTTGTTGTTTCTCATTTTTGTTCGTTTTCAACATTTTTTCCAGTTTAAAGCAACAGTACAATAAAGAAAGAGATGTGTTGGTTTCATATGCATTCAATGCATCAAATAGAATAATGACAAGAAGATAGCAATGGTTACCATGAAGATACTATAATGATGACATAGTTTTTCTTATGTGACGATGATAGAATGCGACAAAACATAAACACTTGTTATGTTCAACATCTTCTTTCTTATGATATTTTTGTCACTTTTGCTTATTTATCTGTATATGAATATACACTGACAAAAAAAATACAGAAGCGTTCGGAAAATTGTATCCATATTGCGAAAAAAAAAATTTTCGTAAGGAAATAATAAAATTCCTTTGTTTTTCATTTTGCTTTTATTTATGGCAAAGAAATTGTCTGCAGCAGCACAAGTGTGTATCACACTCGCATATAAATGTACATGCGAGTCAGAATATATGAAGATTTTCACTTTCTTTTCCCTTCATTTAAACATAACAACAGAAAACAAAAAAAAACAATGGTAGGGAATTTCACAGAGTTGCTTTTATGTCTTCACAAAAAATTATGTTTTTATGGTTTTATTTTATTTATACTTTTATTTCATATCTACATAGAGTATTATTTTGAGTGAGCACGAAATAAATTTATTCTTTTTCTCACTGCAAGCTAGGCAGAGACAATCTCTTCTTCTTATTTATTAAAAGGTCGAGCAAATGTTTCTAATTCATAAAGCTTTAACGATGAGCTAATGAAACTTTTACGGATCACTGAAGTGACACATAACCAAAGTAAAAACTTTTGTTGCCAAATTTTTTTTTAAATCAAGCAATTGGGTTTTCGTACATTAAAAGCACTATCAAATTTATATTTGAGTTTTAAAAAAATTATTCGTAGAATTCAAAAGAGGTTCCATTGGAATTTATTCGATAGACAAGTATGTTCGGAATTCAGAAATTGCTATCAAAGCGATGGCATGTATCAACATATTCATTCAAATTAAGGTTGAAAAATATAGTCTATGCCTTGGGACAAACAAATTTTTTATACGCTCCTTCTGCATCTTATTTTTATGAATGTGATGAAAGAATTTTTTGAATACTCATGTTTATGTACATATCTATGCCATATAATTCAAGATCAGTGATAAAAATGAATGAATGTTTATAGTCGCAAGTCGAAAGATTATCATCGCCGAAAGAATCATAAAGACGGCTTTTTTTCATAAATGAACATTTCTTTTTATTTTCCTACTTACTTTTGTGACTTTTTTTGTCTCTTACTTTTGTGTGCTTAAGAGAATAGAAGCTTCTTTTCTGTTTCCTATCTCCTATTACTTTCTCTTGTGTAAACGAAATAATAAACTTTATTGTCCATCTAACAATGATAAAGAAACAAACATGAAAGAAGAAAACTTTTCATTTTATTGTTCATTTTGAGTGTTTGAAAAGCGTCAAAAAGAACGAAGAAAAAAAATAGAAACACACATAAAGATTATAATATGAATTGGAAGAGATTTTCTATTAGCTTTTCTACAAGTCAACATAAGACAAACTTGCAAAGCTTTTTTTATTAAAGATGAAATTACTCTCATCTTTTACATACTTCTTTTTCATGTTTCTCGAATGTATTGTTGAATTTTCTTTGTTACAATATTGTAAAACAACTTTTAACAAAGTTTTGAAGTAGATTAAGAAGTTATTTGCAAAAGTGTCGCAATATCAAATATTTTTTTTTATTTTGCTTCAAAAAGTTTATTAATTTTCCGGAAACATATTGTTTGAAGTGCTGACGATGTGTTTATTAAATTTAAATCTATATTTTGAAATAATCATCATGAAAATTTTAAAGGAAGTGCAAAAGATATCTCAATTTAAGCTTTATCTTTTGATAACGGAATTGTTTGCTTTAAGTTTGACTTCTGTTTTCAAATGACGTTGACCAAACAATATCAAGGATCACAATATCCTTGCTATGCAAAAGCTCTATCTCAGTGCTGTACAAACATTTATTGCTCTAACTCATTCATGTCACTAAATTTATAATAAATTATTTTTTTCTTTAAATTGTTAAAAGCTCTGAAATTTTCTAAATGATAGACGATGAAGTCATGTATGACGACTTAAGCTAATAATAATTTTCATTAATTACCATTTTGAAGGAGTTTAATTTCATTAATAAGCATATTAAAAATACGGCGTATATATCATTTATAAAATTGCTGTTTACAGAAAGCTATTCATAAAAGTAATAAAATGAATATACGAATCTTAAAAAACAAAAAAAGTCCTTGAATAAATAACAATTTTATGAGTTACGATATTCACATAACATAAATCTCGTTTTATTTTGCTATTTCTTCAACTATTATTGTAATGTTCTTTTTTGTGTTCAACTTATAAACACAATATATCATACGCTCATCTCATCATTTTTCCTTTAGCAATAAAAATAATCGGAAATGATATAGGAAGAAAGGGGGAAATTAATTTATGAAGCAAATAGAATGGTGACAACAATAGATCTCATTACAACTTTTTTTTATTGAAATGTTTTTTATCGTTTCTAATTTCCAGCAATATTCCCATATTTTCCTTTTGTCATTTCAAATCCCATATAGTCAATGAAATGAGAATATTTCCATTTCCTTCTTAATAAAAATTTTCTCGCAATGTCCTTATTATTGTTTTTGTTGTATTGTTATGTTGTATAAAAGCACAGGCTTGATACTGTTTTGTTTATCTCAAAGTTTATAGAGTGAAAAATATTACCCTTCATTATCATTTTTGGAATTTTTCTTCTACTGCTGCTGCTGTTTCATGTCTCAGAATGATAATTCCCTTGCTTCTGTTCTTCCCATTTCTTCTTCTCCATTTCCATTTTTTGCTGATTCGTGCAGAAAAAGAAATTTTCCATCCTTCGATTTTTATTTCTTTTTTGTTTCCTCTTGTTTATGTTCTTCATCAGATTGAAGCCCATTGAAAATATCTGAAGCATATTTTGCTTTCTCTCCGAGGGTTCTCATTCAGCATAGATAAATAGGAGCATTAATCAGTAATAATAATTAGTGAAATGGCCTTGTAACACTCAAGAAAAATTTCATCCTATTTTATTTATCTTCACATGTGGTCTTCAACTAATTTTTTCATGTTCATTAGATACTTTAATTAAGAGTAGCTTAAGTTCTTCTCTCATCAACTTTCATCTTTACTTTTTTATTTGAAATAAACTTAACAATCATGCTCAACATTATTTTTCTTTACTTTTAGCAGGACTTCCATTAGTGCCCACAGATTCAACTGATGATCATTGTAACAAGACAGTGGACATTTATGTAGATATTCAATCACCACCACTAACACGTTTAAATCGTTTCCGACCACTCACATGTTGGTATCGTTTCAAAAGCATCCGCGGAGTTCCAAAAGAGTGGGTGCTTAGACTGACATTTAAAAAATTTAAAGTTGGAACACTTGTAAATTCGACTTACTGCGATGGTGGATATTTACAGGTAACATTTGCTTGGAATGGAATAACTTTTTATTCGTGCCAATTTGCATAATGAGAATTAAAGAAAATATGTATGAAAAAATAAAATATAAGAAAGATGAGCAAAATTTTATTCTTCTTCATTATAATTGGAAAAATTTAATTGTCGTGATGAAACTGCTGCTGCTGCTTCTACTGTGTATTGTTACTATGCTGTAAAGAGACACGAAAAATTACATGAAAGTGAGATAAAAATGAAAAAGTTTCATTAAAAATTTAATTGAAATGGAAATCTAATTAAAACCGAAACGTGTGCTGTAAGTGAGCATAAAATTGTGTGTGTGTGTGTATGAATTGTGTCACACATTAAATCGCTGTAAGGAATTTCATCTTACACGTTTACATACGTTTAATGATACTTGATGTTATTTTTAATATACTTGGATTTATTTACAATTAAATTTGATGTTATTTTTATTTTGAAAATATTGAACTGACGTTTCTTGTACTTTTATTTTGAAAAGGCTTTCTTTCTTTTCAAAGTTTCATTTATCGTATTTATCATGAATTTTGTGATTTTTATTATTTTCAAAATCTTGTCGATAACAGAGAAAATATATGAGTATTTAAGTCTGTGTCTGAAATTCCCTTGAAATTAATCAGTTGAAGAGTTTTCTATCTTTTGAAAGCTCTCGTTTTATTCAACTGTGACATTTCTCAACAATCTATAATTGTTTGCTTCCTTTTCTTACATTTTTTTTTTCTCTTCATTCATTATTATTTCTTTCTGCTATGTAGAGCACTTCTCTGCATTTTAATGAAATTTTATTTTACATGATGAATCATTGTTATTTGCTGTAGCAAAAATTGAAAGACAAACTTTTTCCTCATTCTTTGAACTTTTTCTTCAGTTCCAAAAATTTAAGAGAACAATAGAGGAACAAAAAAAAATTCATTTTTATCGCCATCATTTTTCAGGTGATGCAGCAGACAACTTTTTTTCTTGTGCATCTCATAACTTAAGTTGGCAAAGAACTCTTCTGAGAAAAGTGAAAAGTTTTTAAGTGCCAAAGAAACTTTACAATTCGTCAAAAGTTTCCAACAAATGTCTTTGACGTGAATTTTTTTTCTTCTTATTTTTCTTTCAATTTAATGAAATTATGATGACAATATTAAGAGAAATGCTAAAGTTTTGTCGTATATATGGAATATTTTATTTTTTCACGTTGGTGATGAGTAGATAAAGTTGAAAGGCTTTCACTCTTATGGAAAAAAAAGAAAAATGTTTTGATGTTGAGTTTGGTTTCTAATTTTTAATGTTTTTTACGTGCTTAAAACTTTTTTATTTTTTTTTCAATCATTTTTTTTATGTAACTCCTCGGCACAGTTTCGATAATATCACCAATCAAAGCAAATTATTTTATCAACGACCACGTGAATCAGTTTGTTATTTCTAGTTTTATGAACCTATCGAATTTCGAATTGCTATTTTTCACTTCTAATGTCGTCAATTAGAGAGCAAACGTTTCGTCAAGTTTAAGCACAAAATATAAAAACAATATGCATTATTTGTGTTAGGAGTCATACACTAATGATAATGAACATTTGATTGATTAATTTTAAGAGATATTATAGATTTTTGAAATTTTATGACACTTTCATATAAACGAATATTTTTAATATTTCGCATACAAATTTTATGAACCAGCCGTAATGTTGCTTTAAGAATATAATTATGGTCTGATAAATTTTTTCTAATTTAATTTAAAGTTTTGAGTATAAATAACAAAATTCAATATTTAGAAATGTAGTTCAAAAACCTGTGTATATTTTAAGGGCATATGTTCGATGATTTCCTGTTTGCTTTTGATTTCACATCTCAATATCTAATTAATTTATCAAAATAATATTTTGTGGATATGAAAACGAGGTCAATCTGAAATATTGCATAAAATCTCAGTATTAATAATAAAATGCCAAAAATTACTAATAATATTTGCAGAATTATTTTTAATTATTTACACAAAGTATCAAATTATCTATTGAAAATTAAACCTTTAATTAATTAGAAATTTAAGGTTTTTGTTTTAATGGGTATAAAATATTATTTTTTAAACACATTCGTCTCGAAGGTCACGAATTTTCTTAAAAAATTCTCCTCCTTATACTTGAATAAAAACATCAGATTTATTGTTCTAAAATTCAAAAGATATAAGTGAGCAGTTTATTGATAAAGAATACAATCATCATTAAAAACAATCATATTTCATTAGTTTTGCTGATGTTTACTCATGTATCATGTCAGTATCCTAATTATAATATTAAAGTTTCAAAGATGCAATTTAAGTCATTTTTGCCACACAATTTTCTCTCGAGATTCCTCATAATTTTTATGTCTTTAAAAAATATTCAGTTTTCATTTATGAAATAAAAGTAGCAGAAAGCAGTAACATCATCAGCATTAACGTAATGAAAGAAAATGCATGTATGCATGAAATATTGCACAAGAAATCATATATTATTCATGAATCTAAATGGAATCAATTTGCGATTCAATAAAATAATAATTTATGTACAATTTTAATGAATACAATAACGAAACCTAGAAGAATAAGAAGTAAATAGAAGAAATACTTAGTTAAACTTAATACATGCAAAAAAATTGTTGGTGGAAAATTTTCATTTTCTCTTTTCATATTTCTCTTTAAATAGATAGTAGATGGAAATTCTAAAACAGATGTCTCAAATCGCCGCGAGCCAGGAATGTTTTGTGGTGAAGCAGAGCAGCCACAAACATTTATTAGCGAAACAAGCTATGTTAAAGTAGTTTTTCACACCGACAATTTTACCGACCAGGTGAGTGGAAAGCTGTTTTTTTTTCAAAGCAGCAACACATTGTACTTTTATAATGTTTACTGCCCCTGAGGCTATTAAACAATACTTTATATTGTTCCATGGAATTATTTCACCTTTTACTCATTCAACATTATCTCGTCCTCGCTTTCTCATTGTTTTCATGCAATTAAGAAGGGAGGCAAAAGTATTTTACTGTTACGGTGCTTTGCTATTATGTGAAAAGAATGAAAGCAATTTAAAATCGTTTTTCATTATTTCTATGTGATGGTATGTATAATGTTAAAAGGAAAACTTTGAGGAAGCGTTATCGATTATCTTAAAGTCAATCTTTAAGACACTTAAAGTTTTAATCCTCATGTTGACTGGATTTTTATAAATAGCCTAATTTTGTACATTAACCATAATTACACTCAATGGAGCCATCAATTTTAATACAAACAAAAGGTCCGAAGCAATTTAATGCTAATTCTTTTAGTCTTTAGCATTTAAAAAAATTGTTTGCTTCATTTTAATACACAAACCGTGTTTGCGAAGCAGTAAACATTAAATCTGTGTTAAAAAAACCTTTTTTATTCATGAAAATTCTACATTTTTATGCTTACTTTCTGTATGTGCAATTTGCAGACTTATTTTGCATTCGACTCGAGAGCTGAAACAGAAGTCTATTTACGTTACGGTCAACATCCTGAATTATATCCAAACAGACGTGGAGAAATTGTTCAAGGGTTAGTATGAAAATTCTAGCATAATTTTGTATGCACATATGGTACATATTCGATAGATAAATTTATATATATGTGAACTAAAAGAGAGATTATGATGGTAGATATATATAAGGATGAGGGAAATTAAGAAAAGTAAGCTTACTAGAAAAAAATGTCAAAACTACACATGCTTAGCTTTAGTGAATAAATTTAACGAGCTTCATTTTGAGTCTTCGTCATTTTTTTTTATTCAAAAGGAAGTGGCTTTTAAGTGTAAAAATCTTATTAACACCACAGACATGAAGCATATATTTCAAGAGCTTTTGAAGCACTATCACTGAAATATAAATTTATATCTTTTTACAGTTAGAGTTACAAGTTTCAGTCGGTGTTACAATGACAGTCACATAAAGCATAAAATTACAGTATAACAATTCAACACATGGACATGACATGAAATTGTTGTGTACAATGCATACACATTTATATAAAGACATGAGAATGTGAGTTTGTGGGAGAGAAAATTAATGGGACTTGTCGAGAATGATTAATTCTGTAAATCCACTCCTCATGGATATCATTCTCCCCCGTCTGCTTTTATCTTGCCCCTCATTTACTTTTTGCTAAATTTATTTATTGTTTTTCATCTTTTTTTCTCATTCTTTATAGCTCGTATTGTGAACGAGAATTTCGTGATTGTCGATTGCAGACGTGCTACGTGCAATCGCCAGCATTTCCTGGAATATATCCGCGTGCATTAAAGTGTCGCTATCGCTTACATACGCGGCAGCCATTTATCAAGCTTTATTTGCAGAATGAGCAGTTTGCTGTCGATGGCCAAAGGTAATTTGTGACACTTTATAATGTTAATCCTTTTTTTTGTCATTTTTAAAATAAAGTAGCTTTATTTATGCATTTACTTGGTAAAACTCACCAGTGTGCTATTGAAGTATTTATGAGAATAGAAAGCAGGAGAAAAAATAGAAAAATTTTCTAATTAGAGAAAAATGGCAGCAATAATTATATTCACATCACGTAAATTTTAAGTAGAGAAAAGGGAATAAAATAAGAACGATGTGTATGTAACTTGCGAACATCTGGTGTGCAATTAGTGTAAGCTCGAATAAGCTTTTAAGCATCAATGTAGTGGTTGGATTTTTTTTAAATCGCGATATGAAAAAAACATCTTAATTAAGTTTAAGCACTACTGAGTTAAATGCGAAAAATATAATAGTTGATGATTTAATTAGCATATTTCTTCAAAATACGATGTTTAATTTATTTTTATTTCAAACAAAGGATAAAAAAATAAATAAAATAAAGCAGAGTTAAAGTTTTAAACAATGAATAAAACAGACATTTTTTTATCATAGCACTTTGAATTTTTAATTTTGCTCTCATGATTTTTATCCTTTGTAGAGGTTTTTGTGGTTATAATAAAATTAAAAAAAGAAACAATTATCTTCAACAGAAAATGAATAATATCACAATTTTTAGTACTCATCATCCTGCTTTGAGTGATTCAATTGAAAAACTTTTTTAAGCTTCTTGTTTGAGATTTAAAAAAATTAAATCCTTTATTAAATTAAAATGAATTATATCAAATATTGATAAAGCTTCAAATTCTTGAGCACTTTGTCTGGATTTTAGTTTTCGACTTTATTGATGAATCTCTTGAATGAATCTACCTTAGTAAGCTCGAACTGTATAATAATACACAATGAAATATGTAAAGACAAAAAATTTACTTCTTCCTTAAATCCCTTTTCCCTCAGATGAGATTTAATGTATTTTATCTCACCGAATAAAACTTTTCCTATTATTTAACCAAGATTATTAAAATTTCCAAGAAAAGCGCTAAAGTAAATAATCGACGCAAAAGGAATTAAGGTCAGAATAATTACTTTGAAAGTAAAATTATTTTGCTGATAAGAAAAGGTGATCCTTTAAAAGCATTTTGGGTTGTAGATTTGATGTCGGTTGTTGAGAATGATTCAAATAAAAGTTTCCATCTGCTTTATCACTACCTACTTTATTATTTTAATTACCTCAATCAATTTTAGATCTAATTTTCAGTCTATTTTAAATTATAGTATTATAAAAGGTATTTAGAATTAAGTTGAGGTTTTAAAATGTTGAGTTTAATTGAATAACTTATTCGGAAATATTTAATGTAGAATCGCAATGAGCCAATTATTTGAATTATTTTTTTTTTCGCTATAGTAAAATACAGATGAAAATTAAAATTCTTAGTGAAAATTTTTCGAAATTTTAAATACCTGCTACACAGTTTTGAAGCGTTCTTCCGTCAATTTAATTAAGAAAATTACTCCCAGGCCATGTCTAATTTTCGAAGCTCTTTTTCCATTTCACCGTTCTAGTTACGAAGCTCGGTTCGTGTGTTGGGTGTAGTATTGATGTCTTTGGCATAGAATATGCCTCCTTTGCTAGGTATACAAGGATATACTAGCATCTGGATGACTTCCTTACGGCATCTTGCGCACACGGATTGTGACTAGGTACATTGCAGGGTACATCAGGTCTTATGACGTACTCGTGTCTTTGCAATGTACAGAGCTTGCAAGTGGTTCGGATCCCACTATAAACTGTAGGTCTAAAGGGTGTGGTACAATAGATTCTGTTCTAATTTGAATCGCAGTGCCTCCAGCTGAAAGGCTGGGCCCTTCACACATTATATATAATTAAGAAAAATAAGAAACCAATTAATTAATAAGTTAGAGGCTTAAACGAGATTCATAATGTACCCATTCTATTTTTATCTGGTTAACAAAAGATTTAGTTCAACACTTTAATGGAAAAATAAGATTTAACGTTTAGGAGATTATCAGCATTTAGCGGAAGAAGAAAAAATATAAATTTCACAAAAAACTTTTTGTTTACTTCTAATACTTCCTAGAGATAAAACTTTCTAAATATCATACTTTCCAGTAGAAGGTGTGCTACGTCACATAAATTTGTTATTTTAAGCCTTCAAATTTTCTATAACTTTACTCGTTTAAAACAATTTTGAGTCACTCTCATTCATTCTATTTATTCATTCTAATATCATTATCGATTTTTTTTTGTTTATTTTTGCTTCTTTGGATGGCTTTTTTTCATCAAAAATCTGATGTTTGCAAAACTGAGTGGAAAGAAAAGTATATGTTTAAGAAGATGGAAAGAAAAGAAGATTTTTATAAGGAAACACAGATTGAGTGACACTAAGATAGATTTGAAACACGAAAAGCTATTGTAAATATCAGCAACAAGTCTTCTTCACTTTTTGCCGTGTCGACTTTCGAGGTTTTCTCTTGATTTATTTTTAAGTTTTGGAAAAAGTAAAAATTTTCAATGTTTTGTTCAGCATTTATTGAAAGAAGAATTCAAAAACTTTAAAGATTTCCAAGATTAAATAAATAATCTCTTATTGTAACAACTATGATGATTGACTAAATCACTTTTAATATATTCATCAACAGGTGTGAAAATCTGATTACTTGTCCAATGAAAGAAATTGGATCAGGCCCAGAGCAATGTCCATATGATTGGTTAGCAGTTCACGACGGACGTGATGAAAACGCTCCAGTTATTGGGCAGTTTTGTGGAATGGGAAAATTTCCATTTAGTATTATCGGTAATTTTATGATCAATTTATATTCTTGTAATAGTGTCTGATTTTCTTTTCTGAATCATTATTATTCAGGAACATCACAACATATGTACGTAGAATTTGTATCATCACCAGCTGGTCCATTATTGAATACAGGATTTCATTTTAATGTTGGAAATTGGCCAGGATATGTAGAGCCTGCTGGAATAAAAAATGGTGAATGCGATTGGCTCCTTAGCTCAAATGCCTTGAAACTTACAAGTGCCTCCGAGGGAATATTTTTGAGTGTTGCTCATTGGTATCCACCAAATACATCATGCAACTATCATATTCAAGGCGTCGAAAATGAAATTGTGCGACTTTATTTTCCAAGGTTAGTTATAAATATGTTTTTACATTTGTGCCCAGAGCTATTTTTAAATCAACATGAATTATATTAAATTTGATCAAGAATAAATATTTAAATTAGGCGCTTTTTCATTCTTCATGATTTTCTTGTATCTTAGAATATTTATTAAATCATAACAATTGCTTAGAAAAGCAATGTAAAAATTTGGAGAAGAGAAGACTTTAAATATTCTTTATAACTTGTTTTGAATATTCTCGAGTTAAAAAAGGATGAAAGTTGTATCCATGAAAACATAATTTTATCAAGAAAACCCGAAAAGAAAATAATCGGAATTTATTTCTCAAAGTTTCATAACTCATAAAAAATGAGCTTTCATCCCTTCAAAACTTTTTTTAAATATAAAAGTTTTTTTTCTTCTTTAAGAGCTGGAACAAAATAAAGACGATGAAATTTTCATCGACTGACTCGAAAAATATAAAGGGATGGATGAATAAAGTTAGGGAGAAAAAATTCTGTTAAAGTAAAAAATGTAAAAGGGGAAAGACTTTATCATTAAGTTATGCCTATATTTTCATATCATAAAAGCAAAACAACACATACATAATAAAGAGACTTTAAGAAACAGAATAAATAAAAAAAGCGGCAACTGTAGCTCTTGCGGAATATTAATCTTTATTGAAACGAAAAACTTTTCTTTATAAATATTTTTTTTTCTTTGCTTATTCTTTTTTTTTTTGTTGGAACTGCCACAATATCAATGCAAAAACAAAAACGGAATCGTCAATATAACAAAAAAAGTTTCCGCATAAATCGTATAGAAGCGCCAATAGTAAAAGCTGAAGGAGACTGTGCAGAATCATTGACAATTTATGATGCAGAATATCCAGATCCATCACGAGTTATTAAGACATTCTGCGATACATTTTCCAAGCCAATGGAGAAGGTTGACTTTGTTAGTACCGGACGTTCAATGTTTGTTAAATTTGTGAGTCGTACAGGATCATACAGTGGAAGTTCATTGTATTATTGGGGTCATTATGATTTCTTCAATAACACAAAGTTTGGTTCAGGCGTTCCAAATACATTATGTGATGAAATATTTTACGCATGGGAACATCCCCATGGTATTTTACGATCACCATTAAATACTCTTATTTACAAGCGAGTTGCGTCTACAAGTGATGTACGATGCCAGTATAAGTTTGTTAACGACAAAAGAGCTTTTGCACGTGTTGTAATTGAAATGATATCAATTTCCTTTAAAGAATCTCCTTACACAGTTTCACCATGCACCAGATGCCACGAAGAACGTGTTGATAAGATAATAATATGGGAAGAGAAGAATAAGACTCAACACCGTTTGGCATGCTTTTGCGATAATATTCCACGTCCCGTACGCATCATATCATCTGACAATCAAATGAACTTAGAAATGATGGTGCTTGGTCAATATGCAACGCAACATTATTTCAAATATCCGAATACACTCTTTACGGCAAATTATGAGTTTGTGCATCCGCCTTTATGTGGTGATATTACTCTCGGCCCAAAGGCAGATGGTGAATTGGTATTTCCGCATAAAAATGCATTCGGCTTACCACTTACTGGCACACCACAGAAGAATGTTAAATGTATATGGGAATTGAAAGTTTCGGCGCAACGTGATTTATGGTTGAGTATTGATAAGGCGAAATTTGGCATTTATGGAAGTTGTGAAATTGGAAAAATTGAAGTATATCTTGCTGGTCGCTTAGAGCCACGATTTATTGTTTGTCCAGAGAATGCTACAATGGCAAAAGATTTGCCTATATTATCAGCCGCAGAGCTTGGTGCTCTTGATAACATAAATGATGATCCACTGCCAGTTATCATTCAATATACAGGAGATAATCGTTTTCCTGGAAAGAGTGCTTTCCGTTTAGTATGGACAGAGCTTTTCCATTTACCAAGAAATGCAGATGGCACACTCACAAGTGGAACACAAATGTTGAGAAGTCCTTGTGACTTTGTTTGTCCTGGAAATCCTACAATTTGTTTACCTAAACATTTATTATGTAATGGTATTGTCAATTGTCCAAATGCGTCAAAAACAAATAATAATGATCAAAGATCGATGGAATCAATAATCACAAATATCGAAGAGACATTACAGACATATGGAATATTTAATTTAAAAAATGTACATTTATTAAACGATGAATCTCCTGAAATTTGTCGACACAGTCATATTGAAAATGATTATGAATATGATGAATATGCAAATGTTAAATGGGCATTAGTTGTTGCTGGATCATGTTTTGTTGTCGTTATGTTTATTGCTGTTTTATATAAAATGTGTAAAAAGCGCACAAAAAGTCAATGAGAACGAATTTTTGAATGAGACGAAGCAGTTTATTTTCTTTAGAACTTATATCCAAAATCAATTACCTTCACTATCCGAGCATTTTTTTAATTATTTGATTATTTTTTTTTGTTTTTTGGTTAAGGACGTAGAACACCAAAAAAATAAAAGATCTCAAAAAATAACAAAATTCAATGTGGTTTTTTCAAAATGTGTGGTTTTCATTCATAGATATAAACTATATTTATGATGAGCTCAATATGAAATTTAGCAAAATTGAAAAATATCGATTTCGAGCAGTGGTTGTTAAGCTAAACGACGCGACAAACTTTATGTTACGGTACACAAAATATGCAAGATTTTAAATATTAGTGAATTTAAAGATTTTCAGAAAACAATAGTTTGAGAAGCACTTATTTGAAGCAAAAATAAATAATATCAGCTAGCAGACATTTTTTTTTTATTTGGTAGGGTAAACTGGTTTAAATCAGTTTGAAAAATTCGTGAAAGATCAATGACTTTCAATGCTATGATAAAAATTTATGTTATAAAATGAAGGTTTCAAATATACCAGCATATCCATTTCGATGATTTCTGATTATTTATGTATGCAAACGTAGCAAAACTAAATCATTGAAGCTTCAATTAAAGAATCAAATAAAAAATAATCAATGCATTATTTTCAAAATTCATTCACTGAAAGCAGTGTCACTTCACAGAAAACAGTAATTGAAAAAGCTCAGAATACTAAAATATATACAACAATATTCAAAAAGCAAGCAATGTCACCGCACATGTTTCACTACATCCGAATCTCTGAAACGCATCTTAATAGAAAAGCTTTTGCTAATTTCATTTGAATAAATTTTTGATTATCATATTTTTTTCCCTAAACACAGTTACAACCTGATTTCAGTGTTCTCGAGCTTGTCAAATTTATATTCATGAAAATATTTATTATGTATGAAGACGATAGCAGGAAGAGAATTGATCAATTTCCAAACAAATAATTTTGAGGAAGCAAGTTTAGATGAAAATACCGTTTATTTGATAAGCATCGTCATCTCAAGCTACCAAGGATAAAATTGGAGGAAAAGAGACTATAAATAAACCTCCACCCACCCAACGATCTTTATTCGAAATAGGAAAAAGAGACGAAAACCTTTTCTGCTTTTAAATAATTTATAGGCGCGTTCCTTGTGTTGAAACACTTTTCAAAAACAAATCGCTTCAATAAAACCGACCTAATCCCTACAATTTGTGTATTGTGTTCACAATTAAATTAAATTAAATTTAATATCTGATGAATAATTTTTTCGGGTGTGCTTTTGCTCCAACTATATGAAAACACATAGCATAATTAAAAAATTGACGTAAGGCAATGAATTTTTAAAATCTTTATAAACATTTGTTGTTCAGAGCTTGCGACGTTAAATAAAAATTGAAGCAGAAAAAAAGGTCAAAAAATCTATACAGCAAGTGAATTTTTTTAGGGGAGAAGCATGAAAAGTTGCTTAAGCTGATTTTCTTCTCTACTTATGGCATAACACAACAGTATAAAAATTTATTTAAATATTTGCTACGAAGGCCGGTTGTTTTCGGTCTCGAGAGTGCGAGAAAAATAACATAAAAAAGCTTTCCTATTCAATTATGTATATTTATTTTGATTTTTAGTTCCTTTTATTTTTCCTCGTTCTCAACTCGAAAATGTGAATATATACGTACGATGAAAAAATATAAATTTCAATTCCCATAGTTTTTTTTATTCATTTCAGGCAAAATAATAGTATAAAATGAAATAAAAAATAGAAAAGTAAAATAAAATTTTGCCTGAGTTGAAAATTATTCCTTTCTCTTAAATTAATATTAATTATCCTATAATTTACATTATTTCTTCTCTCTCATTTAACCTTTTTCAATACGATAAGTTAACTGGGTTGTGAATGAAAGAAACAAAAAGGATGAAATTTTTCAAGTTATGCTAAATTTTTGTTTTTATCATATTGTACATTTCATCATTAATGATTACTTTTGTTACTGGTTGAGGAGTCTTAAATTTTTGTCTGATAGCTGATGTGGAATAATTAAAGAAATTATACAGTTAAATTTTCAATGAGACATAAAACAGTGAATAACTTAAATTTTCATGGTCCCTTAAATTCAGATGAAATCATCGCGAGTTTGATTTTTGTATTAAAAATGAAAATATCCATTAAAAAAATAAAACTGAAAAGTTTTTATTCTTCAAAGAAGAAATTATACGAAGCCAATCTTTCTTTCAATCTGCAACAAAACTGACTAAAAACACAATACAAAAAGTAAGGCGGTAAAAAATTTAGACCTTTAAACCTACCTGACATGTGTGTATTGTAGCTAGAAGCAAAACTATAATTTTATATGTAAATTTTTTCACTTCAATATCCTAAAAGCATTAGTATTATTTTATAGTTGATAACAATGGGCGGTGAGAAAAAGTTTCGCATAGCTTTATTTACAGAAAGAAAAAATTGGCAAAATATGCTAAGCCTTTTTCAATGAACAAAATCCACGACGAAGGAGCAAAAAGGTGAATTTGAAAAAGTAAATCCCCATTCTTTTGATTTTTTTATACTTTGTGTATCTAAAGCCAACATAAGCCACATTTGGATATAATGCTACATCATTGAGATCGATAAATTGATTTTTGCACAAGCACAAAGGATAAGGAGAAAAAAATGAAAAATCATCTCATTTAATCTCAAATTATAAGGATATATGTTGTACATTTTTTGTGTTGTCCTTATTCGAATGGAATATATGAGATAAATACATACAAAAAGGAACCCAAGAAATTAATATCGAAAAAATAAGATCTAAAAGCAAATAACGATGATGATGATGAAAAACTGCTCTTGATATTCAGCACACACCAAATATTTAATACATAAGCAAAAAAGTCAACAATACATGAAATAAGAAAAAAAAAATTCTGAAGGATACGAATGAAAAGATGTAATTAGTTGTTAGTTCAATAATTCATTTTTTTCTTCTTTTTATTTCGTTCCTTGTTGTTATTTGTCTTCTGGAAAAAGAAACGTGAAGATAATGCTAAATTTATGAGATAATACTAAAATTTTGTTTAAGACAGAACGAAAAAGTTTATAAAAGGAACAGAAAAAGCAAGAAGAGATTAAATGAAAAGAAAAGAAAAACTATGAAAATTCTGAAAAAATTATATCCTAAGTAAAAAAGTTTGTAGAATAAATAAAAAAAAAAATTAAGACGAAGAATTATTGTCTTATTGATCAAGATCATAAAATAGAACGAATAATAATAGAAATCCAATATAATGGTTAATTATTGATAAAACATGGTAAAAAAAAATGTATTTCAACACAAGTTTTAAAGATGAAAATAAAGAAAATCTATAGCAGATAATACGAAATTTAGAAATCATGTCTTTTATCATATTGAGTTTTTCAGAAGCTTTTTACAGATCTAAATTGTTTCGTAATAGTTTCATTTGTTTGATTTTAATTAGTTCTTTTGACTTCTTGTTCTCAGCATTAATTTTTTTATGACTCTATGCTGTAAAGTGTATTAACATCTAATGCACCATTTGATTTGTGTATTTTTCAATATTTTTGTCATGAGCAGATAGATGAATCGATTTTTTAAAAATATCCTCAAATTATATCCAAACTAAAACCTTAAAACAGAGCTTTGAATGTGGGTTTATTGAATAATCATGACAACGTTGATTGGATGCTATCGAACAATACCGGCATGATGCCACAAAAACCAAATAGGAATAAAAGGAGAATGATGAAATTCAAAAAATCAACAAATCGTCATGTCCACTCTATTTGTCATCAATTTGGGGACGAAGCTCATATGATTGAAATTGGATACAATCTATTTGATCAAGAATTTTAGTATACTCGATCGAAGTCACGTACATATGTACTACATAAAAAAATATCTGTTTATTATGATATAAAGAAATTTCTCACATTTATTGATGTCATCGTTATGATATGACAAATATTTCAAGTAAGAATTAATTTAAATTATTTTACTAAGATTCAAATTAATTTAGCAGATGATGTTGTTTTGTGTAAAACTCTATGGAAATTACGAAATCATTCTTAATGCAATTTTGACATTGAAATTTGTCTGCGTTGATGACCATCGCATCATTTTCGAGTATATAAGAAAAATATGTTCACTTATGAATTTTATAGCAAACAAAAGCCATTTTCATTACTCATGAAATTATCACTAGGTCAAATAATGACATATCTTTATGTGTTTACTAGCACAGTAATGAGAAGAGCGGTAAGAAATTTTAATGCGGCTACCATATGATAAATTTTGTTTTTCAGCTAAAAAATATACGAAATTAAAAACTATGAAGTCATCGTCACATACTCTGGATGTACATTAAGAATGCTGATTTTTCTCAAATTCTGTTCATTTCACATTTCATTTTAGTCGAGTCAACATCTAAATTTTTTAAGCATTTCGTTGTGATTTCTTACTACGATGAAGTTTATAGTGAATTTTTACATTTTCCTCATTTTAATCACGTCCGCAATGTGCAATCAGCAGCATACAAGTGATGCGAGGACTCAACGTCAACAATTAGTACGAAAACATTTTAAGCATTTGCAGAAGGAGGAAGGCGCCATACGACTCGTTGGTGGACAAAGCGATAACGAGGGAAATATTGAAATTTTTCATAACGGACGATGGGGAAATATTTGTGATGATGAATGGGATAAATATGAAGCAGAAGTCATTTGTCGACAATTGGGATTTAAGAAAGGCGGCAAAGCAACACACAGTGGCGTGTTTGGGAATGCTCGCCGTAAATTTTGGATGGATAATTTATACTGCAATGGAAAAGAAAGGGAGATTTCTGATTGTCGTTTTGATGGATGGGGAATCAGTGACTGTGATCATTCTGAAGCAGCAGGAGTTATTTGTAACATCGATAAAAATGAAACAATTATCGTTGAAAAAGTTGTATTGAAAAAACCTCCAAAATTTATGTATCAATCGAAAGAGCAGATGGAGATTCGATTAATCGGAGGACGAGTTCCAGAAGAAGGACGCGTTGAAGTACGTTTTGGAGGAAATGGTCCCTTTGGTGATGTATGTGCTGATGGATGGTCTCTTATTGAAGCAAATGTAATTTGCAAGGAGCTGAATCTAGGTTATGCTAATTTAGCATTTCAAACTGATTATTTTGGTGGTTCAAATGGAACAAACGTTGTAATCAGTGGAACTGAATGTTTAGGAAATGAAACAAAATTATCTCAATGCAAATTTGATGGATTTGGTAGACATACAAAATGTCATGGAAATAACAATCATGTTGCAGGTGTTTCCTGTATTCGAACTATGCCAGATTTAGTCATCGATGCGACTGAGCTAGAAGTGACGACACATCTGGAAGATCGACCTCTTTATTTTCTAACATGTGCTATGGAAGAAAACTGTGTAGCGTCTCAAGCTTATGAAATACAAAAAGAAAATCCAAATTGGCACATCGAGACACGAAGATTACTAAAGTTCACAGCAAAAGTTCTTAATAATGGCACTGATGACTTCCGCCCGCATATACCGAAAAACTTGTGGGAATTTCATTTGTGTCACATGTGAGATATATGCCAAAGTTTACCATAACACTATTTCATGGCTTTTCTTTTTTTCCTTTTTCACAGGCATTATCATTCAATGGAAGTGTTTGCTACATTCGATATTATAAATGAACAAGGTGAAAAGATGGCAGAGGGACATAAAGCATCGTTCTGTTTGGAAGATAATCTCTGCAAAGATGACATTCAGCCGCGTTATGCATGTGCCAATTATGGAGACCAAGGTTCGTATTTTTTATGTAATTCTTATTGACAATTTTAAACTTTTGTTGTATCTGTGGGTGAACATTTTTTTTTGTAAGCTGCAATTTACAATGAAAAATTGTGCGATGAATGTAAATGGGATTAAAAACGGAAGCAGATGGTAAAATCAATACGAATACAAGTTCATAATATATTATTCATGCTAACAGTTCATGGAAGAGATTGTGGTTAATTTATTTAAGCTGTTTAAAAAAATTGTTATGTGCTGAGCAAAATAATGTACATAATTTTTTAACCTTTTCATGACAAAATAATTTAAATTTTTTAATTCAAAAATAGTTTTAGTCTTTAATATTTCTAAATAAGTGAAGCTTACTATATATTGAGGATGATGTAAAAAATCAGCTTTAGAATTAAAATATTAATGAAAAAATCATATCCATAAATCTCTAGGCATTTCCGTTGGATGCTACGACATTTATAAATATAACATTGATTGCCAGTGGATCGATATTACGGAAATTGAGTTTGGTGAATACACATTCAAAGTATCCATCAATCCGGAACATAAAGGTGAGGTTAAAAACATGACTTTTTAACATCTGATCCAAATGATAAAAAATTTATTTAAATATACAGTTCCCGAGATGACGTACGAGAATAATGCCGCAACATGCAATCTATTATATACACAGCAATTTGCAAAAGTGTATGGTTGTAAAGTCGGTCGACCATGAAGTGGAGAAACGAATTTATTTTTTTGATGTGCTATAAATAGTAAATAATGTTAGTGAATGTAGAAAAGAGGATTTAACAAAAAGTAGATCTACATAAAAAAATATTATGATGGATCTGAATTTGCAAAAATTGTAATGGTTGATGAATATGGAATGAAAATAAAAACTATGATGAACTTTACACTCAGCATGAATGTTTTTGTATTGATTTTTTAAGCATAAAGTATTATGTAAAACTTCAGCAACACAAATGTATTTTGTAAAAACCATAATGCACTTCAGAAGTTTCAATGAATTTTAAATCGAAATGCATTTCTTTCTAAGAGTGCAATATACGGCTGTTTTTCTTCTTTTTATGACATAAATTGAAACAAAAGTGTTATTTTTTAATTTTATGAATCTTTAATTTTTATTTAAATTCAAAAAACGAGTTTGACAGCTTCAAACCGAATTTCAGGTGCGAATTTAAATACAATAATTAATTTATTTGAAAACATATCAAGATCTTTTAATTTAAAATAAAATGTACCTCAAAATTGTAATTTTAATTTGCGTTTAAATGTCAGAAAAATTGTGGTAATTTAATTTTGAATATACACAAAAAAAAACGATATAAAAATAAAAATTATGTAATATATTACAAATGAACACGTAATAACAACACCTTTAGGTGATTTAATTATAGCATAAAATCCAGAACTCGCAAAATATTTGTATGATGTTAAGAGAGAGGAAATATAACAATAATAATAAAAACAATATGTCCCAGGGCATAGACGATAAAATACTGTAATTGATTTTCGAAACCCCTCAGTAAGCATTCATAGTCTGTTTCGTTATCGACACTAACAATTCATTATGTGGTCGATGCAGGACTGGGTATTTAATTAATGAAATTCACTCAATTGACGTCTCCTCATTACGTCCTTTTCCACTAATTTATTACATTTCTCGATGGGGCTTCGTTTGTACTGTAAAATTAGAAACTAAAAAAAAACAGCAGTTGCAAAAATGAAAGCTACCGTAACAGTTCTATTTTCTCTTATAATCATCCCGAGTGTGGTTGTAAGTTTTAAATTGGGATCAAACTGAGATTTTTTAAAGTTTATATAATCATGCATTTCTATTTTACTCTTTTTTAAGTACGCTGCACAATTTAGAGTAACATCGCATGTGTATTTTGATGTGACACATGGAAAGAAGGACATCGGTAGAATCATCATTGGATTATTTGGAGATGATGCACCAAAAACTATAGAAAATTTTCGACACATTTGTACTAAGGGAATTGATGGACTATCTTACAATGGAACGCGTTTTCATCGTGTGATTTTTAAATTTATGATTCAAGGCGGAGATATATTAAAGGGAGATGGAGCCGGTTCGATGTCAATTTATGGAAAATATTTTGAGGATGAAAATTTGACGATAAATCACACTGCTCCGGGATTTTTGGGTATGGCAAATCATGGACCGGATACAAATGGCTGTCAATTTTATATCACAACGGTTCCTGCTCCATGGCTTAACGGAAAACATACAGTATTTGGAAAAGTTATTGGCGGACAAGAATGGATACACGTCATTGAACGAATAAAGACAACAACTGATGACGAACCAGTCGAGCCAATCTTTCTTTCATCTTGTGGTGAACTTGAGTTATCTAAACCATATTGGACATCTGACAATCCATATGATATTTGGGGTTGGATAAAAGCTTCCTCTATTCCATTGACAATGTCATTTACAATCTTGACAATTTTCCAATATTTTATTAAGAAGCTGGATAAATATTCTTAAAAAAGAATACAATTCTGACCTATTTTTATCCATTTATGTATGTAAATAGAATAAAGAAGCCATTCATCTGTTCATTGATTTTCTAAGCATAATGTTTTGTTGAAATTCGCCATTATGTTGTGAAACAGTTAAAAATAATATAAGCTTATTATATTTATTGATTACATAATCAACATTATGCAACTTTTGATTTTATCATAAACTTTCATAAAACATTAGGTATTTAAAATTTGTGTGACATTTCAAAATTTATTTGTTTTTATCAATCTATTGACAATAAATTTTAATTGAATATTTGACACAAAAAGATTGCCCTCAAAGTTCATGTTCTGCATTATTGGTTATTGTACAACAATATTTCACATATATAAAGGTAGCATAATGCTTGATACATATTTTCAATTTTATAAAACAAAAACAAAAAAAAGATAAAGTTAATTGAAAATTGTGAATTGTAAAGTGGAGCATATATACTCATGAAATCTAGTGTTTGTCGATAAAATCAATAAATGAAAATCCTTTTCAATGAGAAAATTGTCCATGTCTTTTCATTTCAACATGCTATTTTGATTTATGTATGTTTGTCCATTGAAAATTGATTCTTTTGTAGAATTGTTCTCTTCTTTCATTTTCTATTTCATTTCAATGCTCTGAATGGCACAGTATTAATTGAATGATATCGGTAATCTCAAATGATAAATGCCAATTAGTGTAGACCATAGAGCTGTACTTTGTGCATTTTAAAGTGGAATTTTCAATGATTTTTGCCCAATATTGGAACATTTACTATTACAGATATAAATGAATACAACACATAGAATTGTTAAAAGAGTAAGGTAATTTTGTTTTTGTTGATTAAAATAATTTAGAGTCATAGCTCCTTAACATACAAGTTTGTAAATTCAACAATAACGAAAATCCTATGTTCAAACCACAAATCTCAGCTTAGGATATTTCAAAATTGCTATCAAATACATAAACAATGAATAATATGCTAGCCACTGCAACCAAGAACCAGGTAATGGTGATCAAGCGCTTCTTTACTGAACTTTTTCGGTCATTTTCCATTTCCATTTTATTCCACCAATAATCTTCCAATTCGATTGTGTCAATTGATGAGTTTATTGAACATTCAACTTGCTTTCGATCAATATATTTTCTGCGATAAAATTGAGGATAAATTTCCTCAATATGGTGTCGACAATAGTTTTTAGCGGACCAGACGAATATCCGATTTTCAATGGCGAGATTGTGTTGGGTAATTATATTGACAATTGCTTGTTCAATGCCAATTTTATTGTCGTTTTCTGTGATGTAATTTTCGTTTTGTGTTAGTAACATAACACAATTGTATCCATCGATACATTGATGAAGGATCATATAGCTTGCATAATCGGTTGAGAGGATATTCATCTGATGAGCAACTCGTTTATTATTTGCATAATAATCGCAAAATTTCCGCTCCACAAAAATACTATATGATATATTATCATAATTTGCTTTTACTCTCGCCATAAAAGGATAGAAATACTCATCAAATCGTTCAGTATAATAGCCTTTATACAAATCAAATCCCATTTTTGATTTGCCTCGCAGTTCATAAAATCCACATTTTGTTTCAAATCTTGTCGCAAACAAAGAAACAGTATCAAATCGTGGAGGGACTGAATAAATACGAAGTTGATCATACCAAATACCCTCTCGAAATAACGATGGCCAAATTATATCCGTTGTAATATTTGAACAAGATTCGCATTTCACTGGTAGAATAAACAAAATTTGTACAAATAGCACAAAAAATATCATTGATGATTTGAATTGCTGACTTCCCTTTTTTTAAATTCTGTGTTTTGTGTATGAAATCTGACGGTAGACTCAAAGCAAGTTGTTAATTAAAAGCGAAATAAAGTGCTCAAAGTGTTTTCTACTGATTTGTAGTCATGGAAATTTGAGATAATATATTGAAGTTTGCAATTCTATAGTTAAAATATTCATCAAGTAGGAGTTCAATTTGTGTAGGATACAAGTGAATTCACAAAACATAATGAAAATATTTATTAAAAACTTTATTAAATGCCATAAATAATTTATTTATATAAAGATCCTGGGGAGGCATAAACGAATTTAATTAATTGCATTAAAATAAAGTACAATTTTATAAGAAGAAAATGTTACTGCTTAAGACTCATCTCAAGAAGGATTTTTTTTTTGATAAGCTCGTTGAAGAAAATGATTTCGAGAATAAAAATCTCTTAAGTGCTTTTTGATGTTTTTTTTCTCTCTTATTTATGTCATTTCTTGCACAACATAAAGAAAATCTGATGAAATTAAAGAATAGAGCTTTTTGTCATGTCAAGCATGAACAGGATGAAGTGAGATGTAAATATAATAAGATTCAAGAACTTGAATTTTATGTACTTTTAACTCGTTAAATTTATTTTAAGGAGGAATAATTTCTTGTGGGAATAAAGTTCATAATTTATCAAATTTGTTATCGTTTTTGTCTAAGTTTAGGTAAGCTTATAAATTTTGGGGTGATGTTCGTAGGCATTAAATCTTGTAAAAGATTCTTAAATAAAATTGAATTTACTCCCGTCAGATGATTTTGATATATTCTTCTTGTTTGTATAATTTATTTTACCATCGTCATTGACTTCATGACTTTTCCTTTTTTCTGTTATGGCTTAAAAGCATTTCTTTTAGGCAACCACATTCATTTTGAGGCGAGCCAAGATGTGCTCGTAATGGATAGCAATAAATCTAAATTTTCAGATTCTTTCATTTTTTTTTCCCAAAAGAGACGGGGTGAAATGTGTTGACTCCTTTTTTTCTGCATTGATTTTTTATTTTGCGAAAATATTCTGTAGAATTTATTCACAAAATTTACTCCCGTTGATGATGTATTCCATAATGAATTTGGTTTTGATTAACTGTCAGTATTTGGCCTATGACACATACGATAAGCTCGAGTTTTTTTAAAAAAAATCTTTTAACACAATTTTTACAAGTTGTCAGTCAATTTATTGCTATTTTTGTTAAAAATTTCTTCAATGTAATGCGTTTTATTTAAGTTGTTAAATCTAAAACTTGTTATGATACTCATTTGATAAAATACAAAAGGAAGAACTTTATTCCTTCATTCATATTTATGGCGGGAGAAATAAAGCTCATATACTCATGCATACTTTATTCATAACCCCTTTCGCATCCTTTTTCTGCATTCGACAGGATTTTTTTATATATATTTTTGCTATGAAACCCTCGTTATGTCATCATATCATCATACCTTCATCATGAATATAAACTGATACAAAAATATTTCATGTCTGCTTACTTTGTGAACACATTCATTTGCGTATTCCGTTTCAAAATAAGAAGAAGCTATAAATAATTTTATTTTATTGCTTGATTTTGTATTATGATATCATCATACATAGTAGATGAATATGAGCTGTTATGTGAATATCAAATAATTAATGCAATACGTGGAAAATATTTAATGACAAAATGAATGTAACATTATAAATTTTAATGGTTAATTTTACTGTAAATTAAAGTGAATGCTGAAAATCTTTAATTATAATAAATTTTTATATTTTTTTAAGAAACGAAGAGAACAAACATTCGTTAATTAACAGCTTTATTTTATATGAAGTTCTAATGAAAACTTCTTTGCGTGCATAAATTGGTTATTTTTCATTCTGACATGACATGAAAAATTATGTCTTAATATGTTGAGAATTTATGATTAATTTGTAATTTCTGTTTTGTATTTTAGGTTAAAAATAAAACTACATTTTAACCATAAATTAATTACTGAGGTAAGTATAATTGGGGCTTATATATTAGAACAAAGTACTCTTTGTGGTTATTAATTTTACCAGTTTGATTTGTCAGTTTAATAGTCATCAAAAAATATAAGTACTAAGCATAACAACACAACCACATAAAAATATATATATATATTAAATCTGTGTAGTTCAATTCAGCAAACGTTTCTGCAAATTTATTTTATTCTGCTTACATAAAACTACAATGGTATAAACACAATCATTTATCACAACATGAGAAAAATCTTATCATTGAAAAAAATGCTGACATAAACCAGATTACAATTACTGTACAAACATACGTTATAATATTTACAAGTGCTACACAAACATGTTACGATGGTCACTTACTTCGGTAAAATTAAATTGAAAAAAATATATTCAGTTTGAATGTTTTGATGCTGCTAACCAATTAAAATGTCACTTGCAGCAATTAAATTGTTAAAATGTTACAGCTTTTTATTAAATACATCATGTTAGAATGTATTTTATTATTTCATTCACTAATTTTGAGCTGCATAAACAAGGAGAATACTGATTAAATGAGCATAGTGTGTTTCAGGCTATGACAATGTAAAAGAAACTGCCTTAATTAGAATTTATGAGACAGCAATTTATGTACATTTCTGTCGTCCTGTAACTTTTAATTATTTTTTTTTTATTTATTTCTTTTATTCTTTAGATTGTAAAATAAAATTTCTTGTCTTGTTCTGATCTGGAAGAAAATAAGCGCAAGCTTTCACATTAAATTGTCTTTCTTGTCTTCATCACCAATCTATACTGGATTTTTTAATTTTCTACCTTAAAAGTTATTTGAAATCCACTTCCTTTGAATAAATTCCTCAAAACTCAAGAAATCCTCTTTCAATTTACGCCACGTTAATTCCAATTGAATGATTCAAATAATATCGATAACAAGACGTTCAAATACGAGAAGTTACCGATTTATTGACTTGTTTTCAAGTAAACAGAGGCCAATTAATCCACCTGAAGTCACGTGTCTTAAACTTATCAAAGAGATTAGAAATTTCACTAATTCCTTAACAATAATCACTTGATAGCCTTAATTTTCTTAGTTGCCTTAAAGTCAGTCACTTCGCAAAGTAAATTCTGTAGCAATAAAACAAAAAGTTTCCAAATTAATTTTTTTGCGAGTAAAGATGACAAACTTGAAATTTTGCAAACTTTGAAATAATATCAACTTAGATCTCTCTGTGAAATTAACTTCTAATACAAATCAAAAGATAAACCCAAACTAAAGTATTGGGTAGAAACCCATGAAGCAACGGCTATTCCTACCTTGCCCAAAATCAATTCTTTAAAGCTACACGGATCTAATGCAAGAAGAGATTTTTTGCGGATTAACTTGATGTTAACTTGCTGGTTTGCTTGTTTGATTGCTAACAGAAAACGTATTTTTCCCCTTTCTCAGCAATGCCTTAATCAATTTGAAGTCTGTTTTTTGCAGAAGACATCTTCAGATTTCTTGCCCAATTTCCACACAAAATTCGAAAAATTGATTTTTCAATCTGATCAAAAACAACGTGAAAACGGTGTGAATATAATAAAGCGTTAATCGCGAAAGTACAAGACACATTAAATTTAAACAGCAACACATCTCTTCTGAGTTTTGGCTGTCATTTATATGAACGTTTTTTTTTTATAAAAAATTTGCCTTAAAATTATGCAACACTGGTGCAGCATTTTAAATTATAAAATTCTCAAAATTATGAGTGTGAATTCACAAGATGTTTTTTGATGCTCAATCTGCTAAACATGGAAAAAAAGAGCCATGTAATTATTTTTATTTTTATATTGTATGCCTTGAAGGCATTCAAATGTAACAATAAAAATTTTCTCCTTATTTTCTTTTTTTTATAATAATTTTTATCTTATTTGTAGCCTTAGGATACATAACAATGAATGTTCCATGTCTTCTTGTTTATTTGAGCAAATAACAAAAAAATATTTTAACATTATTAGAATTTCATGTTGTCATATTTTTATGCTTATGTTTCGTTAGCAAATATATGTGTCTAAGTATGTGATGCAATGTTTTTTTTCCTTTTCACATTTCCTTATCATCATCGATCACAAACAAATCCACTCGAGCATCCGTTTATATAAAAAAAAAAACAATTTGAAGTTCATTGAAATGTTGAATTTTATTGTTACACAATGTAATAATAAAAGATACTAATAAGAAGTAAAGCATATAAGTAGGGTTCAAAAAAATACGAGAAAGGAACGTGTTGACAAAATGATGGAAAGCTTCTTTTCTATGGTATAAAAAAATTTGATATTGAATGACGTGGAAATTCTTTTTTATTCTATATTCTTTATAATATCTTTCTCTTCATAAAATAACCTCAATTATAAGCCTTATGAATCCTTAAGGCAATCTATATTTGAGCAAGTGAATACACGTAATTTTTAAATCATTCTCAATCTGATATTGTTGTTGTAAAATCAGTAAGAAAAAAAAATTGTGAACTTTTAAACGAAGTAAAGAAAAAATAGAAACTTGATTGATAGGATCCAATTTCAATTTGCACTTGACTGAACTTGTGTAGCAAAATAATTGAATTTAGATTTGCCAGCAGTTGCAAACGAGGAGGGTGAAAATAAATTAGTATGAAAATTTTTGGCACATGTGAACATTTACTGATGGGTGTATTCTGATTGTACGGAATTTTTATTATAAAATTGTTGATTAGGGACATTTAAATTTCGATCAGCTATTATTTGGCTCGTTCAGGAAATATTTCAAGCCGAAATTTAGTCACAACTTTTTCATTTTATAATATCTGGCTTAGCCAAATCAACTAAGAAGATCAATCCCAGAAGGAGCGACATTAAAAGAACATATAATCAAGCGAATATTGTTTAAGTAAAGCCAGCGGAATCTGAGTTTCTTTTTATTTAGACAA